CTGCAGGCCTGAGAAGCAGATTCAATCAGCTCACCGCATTCGAATGGGATAACGTGAGTACTGACAGGAAGCAAAGTAAGTTGCTGTTGAGGCGGACGGTTTCCTTGCTGGTAGAAAACAGCTTTCATCAGCTCCGCATCAATCAGATATGACATGGCAGAAGTTGACTGCAACGTTGATGTTCAATGAGACTGTCGCGCCGAAAAGCAATGATGAGCAAAATAGTTGGGCAAATACAAATGGATCTACACTACACCCGTCTGAAGTCTCCATTCCACACCGCTTACGCTTTCGCGCCACCACCACAAAACGTTCACACTGCTCGATAGGTATGCATCGACTCCGATAGCTAAACGTCTTCAACCCTGCTGGTCAACTTTCCGTAGCACCCGGAGAAGGGATACAACACTGACAATAGCGACTGCCGACGTTTATTGGCATCGTCCAACCATGTCTTTTATAGCTGACTGCGTGAGTGAATACATGCAATCATCAACTGCACTCGACACGCGATGATCTTCGATCAACCGTGAATAGACTTCACTCACGCTCGTCTGAGAAACGAATGCTTCCAAAATACACGCTAACGTGGAAATAGGAATGAGAATGCTAGACTACTCTAGGGTGACCATGCTGACCGTGTTTAAAGGCGGAGAAGAAAAGTTGGAACCGAGGGAGCATCCAGGAAGTATTCTTGGTGAGTCCCAACTCCTAACCCTCCAATTCAAGTCCGAGTAAATTGTTTGACCTCGTGCAGCACAAACACAACTTGACGTTTGTTTAATCTGTGGCAGTGCGGAGCAGACTGGAAAGGGCATTGCTCTCTGCTATTTGGTTTGACCAAAAAAAAAAGACATTGTCCACCTCGACATCAGCAACTTATCCTTCCTTCTTGCCATTAACAACGTTGGGTCTTTTAGTCATAGTCAGCTGACTCTGTTGGCTCCTAAAGCCAGCAGCCGTATGTCACAACAATGACGACACCTCAAACATTACTAAGCCAAACAAATTCATGCGATGGCAATTTTGCAGTCACTCAGCCTGCGTCTCACAGCAATGGCCTGCGCTATTTATGCAACACAGACGATAAGCGGTCAAGCAGTTCCTACAGAAGGAGTACAGAGAGGCTGTCACAGAAGCTATGCAGCAGTACTACATGCCTGTTACAAACGTGCGTGAAACGCCTAGTGGTTCGCCACACTACATACGCTAGCCAGAAAGGGTATTCCAAGACTACCACCAAGCGAAGACCCATGCAGCTGGTCGGATATGTGAGCACACAGTTTGTAGACAGCAAGCTATTTATACAGCAGTGATTCCTCAACTTGGAGCATTCAATTTCTCGAATAGCGCAGTTGGCTTCAATCAAAACGGAATCCCAACTCAGTCAACATCTTCAGCTACGGCACATGCAAAGACACGTAAACACGACAAATGATTGCTTCTAAAACCAGTATTTTTCACTGAGAAAAACTGGCTCAATAGAAATTGTGAGATGAGAATTAAAACTGAGCACCCCAAGGTCACTTGGCTTCCAGGGGTTAGAGCCGTTTGGAGACGTACTACTGTGCACATTTAAGCAGCTATTCATTATCACGACAAGTTAGGCGGACCGACAGCGACGCGTGTGTTTTGACGCGGAGAGAAATATTTGAATCAAGCGGACACCTTTGAACCGAGCAATTTGTCTTGGTCATTGCAGTTGCAGTCAAATCGAATTTTTCAATTCTCCACGTAGGTTTCAGACAAGAGTGTGAAGTGGTCACCACTTGTGCCAGATCGACTCAATTATTTTCAGGGGTGTTGTTGCGTCACTGCGCGAAGACGAAGGCCTAAACGCATGTCCTAAAGTCGAGCAATCGAAAACAAACAGTCTCAATGCATCCAATTACAGCAAACGCCAGTAGCCTGTCCATTTCCACCGACGTGCCACCAAGTTCAAACTAACAATGGTCTTTCAGCTGAGCATTCCAATCCATTCTGACTCATTGAGTAATGAAAAGCATCGAATTGACCAATCGGACAAAAGACTAATGTCTCACAATGGGCCTCGACCGGCCAAGAATCCAACTAGACAACCTAGGTCTGCTTCGTAGTCATGGCAAATTTCATCAGGCACGTAACATGACCAACGAATGGGTGGCTATTGCCCTTCTTGCATACCTAAATCCGTAATTTTACAAGTCAGTGAGCAAACTCGACAACTGACACGTTTTCCACCAACTCTATTACTACCAATTTACGCAGATCTCGGAAGACAAGTTTTACTAGAACTGCAGCCAGTAAGGCATATTCACGGATTTGGGTCGTCCATTTCACCTTATGTTCTTATCGCTTCACGAGAAGGCAACACGAACCACGGCTCTGTGTAGTTTAGAAAAACCCATGCCTTAATTTGCTTGCTTCTGAACACAAGGCCAGCTGCCGCCAACCTCGCTGCTTTGCCAATGCAGAAACGACTAATCTTTACCGCCCATAGCTTTTATACAGCCCAGTTTGAGGAAGAACAGAGGTTGGGAGATGCGAAGGACTGCTAAAGGCAAATGGTGTGCTGTGTGATTTCTAAGGAGTGCTTCGGATGAACAGATGAAATAATTGCTTGGATGTGGGGCGAATTTTGCTGTTAAAAGCCTACTTCAAGCCGTTTCTGGGTTGACTACCACAACGGTACTTTCCACTATATCTAAGATTATGATTCATCTTGCCATATCTCAATGACTTATCAAGACGGTAGGGTTTAAAGCAAGTTGTTGGCATGAGTTTATACATTGCCACTTGTAAACCGATTGAAGCATTGGCAACATGGCTGACATTGGCTCTTTACCAAACCTTAAGCCCCTGAGCTTGGCATTTGACGTTGGTTCCTTCACCTTTAGAGCCCGTTGTTCCCTTGAGGTGCCAAGCGAACGAAACATACCAACCAGGGAGCAGGATCAAATAGCTAAACTCACCAAATCCACAACTACTGCAAATCGACTTGATTGATGCACGCACCAATAATGATCGATTTCAATCACTGAGTACAATTGCTGTGCCCTGTTGAGCACCGTTTCGGAACTATTCATTTGACCAACTACCACTCAGAGGACAAAACTGCCAGACCATAAAAAAGACGCTATAAGGCGTATTTGTGCATTGTAATAGTCTCTTGTTTACACAAAGCCAAGCGGTACAGAGGAGGCAGACGCAAATGCAGTGAGCAGTGAAAGACCTCGAGTCAATTATCGAAAAGTCAATACTCACCATATCGGAGTGCATTCATTTGACAAAAACCGATTCCCCACCTTAAACTTCTCCCGATTCCAATTGATGAACTAATTTAGGACTCTCTGTTGTCAAAATCAAGTCCTGGACCAGTTGACTTTGACCCGGCATTTAGCTCAACATGGCTTCTTGATGGCGCAGACTCACTGAGGAACAACGTGAAATTCAATTGTCACCACTCAAAAGTGGACTCATTCGAATCCCTCTTTCTCTGTTCATCAAATGCCTCAGGAAATAATGACGTCAACATGGATATGTTTCACTCACACGATGATTGCTGCTGGCATCGAATTAGTCCAATGCTAAAGGCGGGTTGAAGTTCAAGAGAAGCGTATTTCCACGGTCACGTTGTCGTTGCAGGCGGACATCCTGGCGAACGCACCACCGTTGAGAGCCTACAGCCTCCCACGTCCGACCACACCGAGAGTTACTGGACCGAGTTGATTGGTCCAGACATTTGCAGCCCAGATTCTGTCTCGTTGGCAGTGTTCAGGGGAAGTCTGATGCAATCAGGTGAAATGGTCCCTGTTCTTGGCACATCTATTAAATGGGTGGCTTTCTGAAGTAGAAGCGACAACAAGCATTTGATAAATTTGCTCCATATTCATTCCGCAAATGTCTGACAGATTTAAATCATGCGCCGACCTATTCATATTCACCCAATCACTCATATAATCCCCTTGGAGTAAAGGCAGTGGTTATTGGTACATCTTTAATGCTTCCTGAGATTTTTATTTAAAAATTTCAGTATGGGTTGGGTCCTGAAAATTTGTCAGCACCTTTCAACCCTAAAGAAAGTGGGGAATCCTTGTACTTTTGATTTTGTGACTGTTGGAAAGTATTACAATTGGTTTCTGTGCAAGCGGGTAGAAGAGGGTCAAATCTGTTTTAGATTGGAAAGGTAGTTGGACGTGCAAAAGAAGGGCTGGG